AAAGCCAAAACAGTGACCCTTATATATGTATATGTAATATAAATGACATATTAAGAACATTACTCACACAGTTGTACAACCAGGCAAGTCTTGGGAGGTCCTAAATACATGGGTAAGATGTTAAGCCTGAGACTACTCCTGACACATGTAGCTTGGGGTACGGATGAACCCAAGTTCAGCAGGAAGATCATATAACTGCAGAGGCAGATGAATCCAAGGTCAGCACTTCAGGACTGTGATTGGTTGGCAGATGGTAGACTGTTGATGGCTCCTGGAACTGGCAGGCAAAATGGCAGGCCAATGACTGAAATACAAAGAACCAGTGATGGATAAGCCAGATGCAGGATGGATACTCAACAAAAAGCCCTCTCCTGACATGTCCAAAGTACGTGAGACAAAGTCTCACCATCCTTGCCTCTAAGGGGCATTCAGATTTGTTTGTTCTTTTGGTAATCCATGGTACTTTCAATATTCAAAATTGTAATTCAAAAACTGTAATTCAAATGCATAGATCCTTCTTCAGTCTTCCTTACTCAATATCCAACTTACACCTATCTATGAGGCAATGAAAGTACTATAACTTGGGTCAGGAACACTTTCATCCTCAGAGTAACCTGTTTGCTTTTCAACACTTTAAAGCAGGCATCCTCAAACTACAGCCTGCGGGCCACATGCGGCCCACCGAGGACATTTATCCGGCCTGCCGGGTGTTTTTGCCCCAGTTGACTTTTTTACTTCAAAATAAGATATGTGCAGCGTATATAGAAAAAGTTTTTTTTGAAAACTATAGTCCGGCCCTCCAACGGGTCTGAGGGACAGTGAACTGGCTCCCTGTTTAAAAATTTTGAGGACCCCTGCAAGTTTAAAGTGATCTTAGGCATCAGATTTGCCCAAAGCAACCTGTCATTTGATCTCCTGGCTGCTGCTTCCATGAGCACTGATTATAGAAATCAAAATCCTTGACAACTTCAGCTTTACTCCATTTATCATGATGTTCCCTGTTGGTTAAGTTGTTAGTTGGTCAAGTTGGGTCTTCTTTATATTGAGTCATAATCCATGAAGGTTGAACTTCTTGATCTTTATCTGCAAATGCTTCAAATCCTCCTCACCTGTAGTAAGCAATGCCGTGTCATCTGGCTATCAAAGGTTGTTAATAAGCCTTCCTCCAATCTTGATGCCACCTTCTTTTTCATATAATCCCAATTCTCTGGTGAGCTTAAATGAACACATCTGTTCAGCATATGGACTGAAAAAGTATGCTGAGAGGTTACAACCCTGAAGCACACCTTTCCTGCTTTTAAGCCATGCAATGATCCCTTGTTCTGTTCACACACCTGCCTCTTGATCCATTTAGAGATTCCAAATTCCAAATTGAGCACAATGAAGTGCTCTGATTCCCATTTTTCTCGAGGTTGTCCACCATTTGTTATGATCCACTCAGTTGAATGTTTAGTCAATAAAGCACGAGCCAAGATCATTTGGATATCAGCAGTGGTATCCCTTGTTTCACGTCCTCCACTGAATCAAGGCTGAACCTACAGCATCGCGCTATGTATTGCTGAACGCATTGTTGGATGATCTTCAGCAAAATTTTACTTTCATGTGATATTAATGATATTGTTCTATATTATGAGGATTCTTCTATTCTGAATACCTGGTTTGCAGAAGGCTATGGATAACAGTGAAAACCCAAAATCAATTTCAATATTTCCACATGAGTTAGGGCTTCAGATAATCTCCTCTGACGATTTACCAGAGATTTCAATATCACTGTTGCCAGACTAAGTGCATTGGAAAAATGGATTAATACAGATGTGGTTAGGCTGAAATGTAGCATCTTATTTGATCTCCCTTTTGACACATTTTGGTTTCATTTTTAAATAAGTTTGTAAATATTTTCATTTCGATTGAGATTTTCAGTCTTTTGTCATTTTTATTTGTTGTTTCTTTTGTTTCCTTCTGGTTTTGTATGATTTTCTGTATATGAATCCACAATGGGTAAATTTATAGGGATAGTAAATGGATTAATAAATTACCTAGGGACATGGCAGGGAAGGTTGGGGAAATAGGAAGCTAACGGCTCTGAGTATGAAAAGAAAATGTCCTCAAATGTATTGTGATGATTGCACATATCTTCTTAATAAGATTGAACAATTAAATTGTATGATATGTGAGTTATATGCTAGTAAACCAATAAAAGTGGGAAATGTTTTTTAAAAGTATTAAAAATACAGTGAACCCTCGTTTATCGCGGTTAATC